CACACACACACACACACACACACACACGCACATACATTCTCCTGTCTATTGATGGGGAGCGCCACCTATTGGAAACTGGGTCCAGCGTCCCATGAACATCGTCAATGAAGCACCAACCGGGACCGCACACGCACTCTCTTCGAGTTATATATAGCGAACATGACAAAACATACATATAGCATAATCACTACCTTACCCTTCCCGAACCACATAAACAAACGAACTACGGGCTGCTCACCCGTGCCCTCACGGTAAGTCAATAGTGCGAGAAGGCCCCAGGTCTCCTGGGCCCAGAAAGCTGTCATCTAGGGTGCTCGCGAACGCGGCAGGTTCAATCTGCCGTGTTAACTGTCCTGCGAGGCCCCAAGTCTCGTGGGATCAGAGAGGGGTCATCTAGGGTACTCTCGGCACGCCGCAGGCTCCAACTGGCGTCGCTTGGTGTGAACAGTCATGGGAAAGCGCCCAGGCCCTTTTCAAACATGGTTTTTCCGCGCCGCGTGGTTTTGGAGGCACGCGGTGTGAACAATCATGGGAAAGCACCGAGGCCCTTTTCAAATATTGTTTCTTCGCGCGGTGCGGTTTTGGAGGCCCTCGGCTGCAGGATTCTGGGCCTGACTGTCCGATAGTGGGCCTGACCAAGTCCGGAGGTGGGCCTGACTGAATCCCACGCTGTCCCTGACTAAATATTCTCAGCCATTGACATCGCGCTCGTCCCTTCCGCGTACACCATGTCATTCGCGGAGATACGATGGTCCAGGTGCGCAAAGACCGCCAGATACCGAAGGGTCAGCTTGAACGAGCTGGCGGGCATGGCGGCCCTAAGCTCGCCAGCCAGCGCCCGCGCGCGCCCGCTAGAGCGCGGTGTTGCGGAGACATGAGGGTTTGGTCCAAAGCGACCTGCAACCTGCGACTTGCGCGGGATGTATTCACCTCCCGCCCATTGCGCTTCAGCGGGATTGCCGCCCAGGGCACAAATCGCAGTCGCCTAAAAAATTTCGTCGAGGTCAAGTGGCGGGTGATGACAACATCGCGCCGGGTTGGTAAGAGAATCGAGCCTACGCTTCACAGCCTCACTATTTACCAATCCCGCCGTACTTTGAAAGACCTCCTCTCCTCTGTGCTAAGTTTCCAGACAGCTGCCTCTGCGCCTAGTTAGCTGCCGTCGAGAACCGCCATAGCCATAGCTCGAACATCGTCATACGCTTGTCAAGCTGACACAACGACTGCGTCATCGTCAATCCCTTAGCTCGACCACAGAACTTTGAAGTTGCGACGCGTGTAGAAATCGTCGATTTTTCAACTTCGCAAACTTAACTGCCTTCCTCTCTCTCTCTCTCTCTCTCTCTCTCTCTCTCTCTCTCTCTCTCTCTCTCTCTCTCTCTCTCTCTCT